AACAGCAGCAACAACAGCAGCAACAACAACAGCAGCAGCAACAGCAACAGCAACAGCAGCAACAACAGTACCAATACAAACAAGAATATAATAATCAGGGCTTAAAATAACAGCTGGTCATTAGACAATGTCCAGCCAGAATAGACCCTAAAGACATTTCATACCTAAACTACCACTAACAATCCTTTTCAAAATCTTTTTTCATACAGTGTATTCAAATGTTTTTAAAAACGTCTAAGAGAATACCAGAGAATAGTGAAAATTTATAGCAAAACAAAAAAGCTACCAAAACTGATTGTGGAAATGTAGGTATCAAATATCATTATTCTTCAAGTCTATTGGAATTTGTCACTGGCACACTTAACCCCGTGGGCTGGATATACGAGCCTAATGCTGGTCATTTTGATCAGATATTTTGAGCAAGAAATCAGGTACTGTATGACCAAGCTAAGAATAATTTGGAGGGGACCATAATCAGCCATTATTTTAAGCCCTAGAGATTACAGGTGTAGCAATAACAAACTAAAATTTATCAGAACAAATATAATCATCTGGAGGTACATGTGGTATGCACTAATTCCTAACCTGAAGGTCAAAGAAATCAAAAACGTTCATTTTTTTATTGCTTTGACTTTGGGATTTAGTACGAACATATATGGCCACAGTGGTTGACATCTCATTAGAATATATAGAAGCTTTCCACCATCACGTGATGGCAGTCATGACAGGAAGAAGAGACAATATTAAATCTGGTCTAATCTGATTTACACAAGGAAAAAAAATCAGTTTTCAAGGGGAAAAAGATTTTTTTTTTTTTTGTACCTTTTGTCATTGCTACCATAACATGCAAAGCATCTTGTATTAGTGTAAATTCATACCTCACAATTGACTGGCAGGAAGTATTACTTCCCCTTACAATGTTGCACCCTGTATCCAATACCACTGGCTTGCAGAAGCATTACACTAGATGGACACACTCTTGTCATGACTCTCAAGGCAAAAGCTTGGTGTTCCAGTTGTCTGTCCTCGCCCACATAGTAGAAAATATTATGACCACTACAGCAGTTTCATAGATAGAAATGCCATCCTCCCAAAATGTCTTACTATGTGACTGAAGTACACACCCAATAACCCTTGACTTAAAGCTTCTCAAATTCAAGTTACAAGTTTTCATTGCTATGGGCTTATCAAGACAACAGTCACGACTGAAATCAGGCAATACACTACTGTCTACCAAGTAAATTGTTCGGTACCTTTACTACTTTGATTGGCAGCAGTGTGTTGCCTAATTTTCCTGTTGCAACTGTTGTCTTGATCACCCTGGAAATATAGATTCAAAAGGTTATGTTTCTTGTTTTAAAAAAGTCGTAAAAGTTGGACTCCCAGACCTAAGGGTGATGAGCCAATAAATCCTCAACTTGCCTGTATCCTCCGTAACTAGGTTGAGTCTTATGTTTTCCATTTCAGACCACGTGTCATTCTCTTGAATATGATTCTTTGTTTTGGTTGCATCCATATTCATGTGTCTTCTTGATGCGCAACGTTTAGACAGAAATATTACTCTAGGGAATGACATATGGCCTAAAATAATATTTTGGTAAAAAGGAAGAAATTAAATATATAATCCATGTAATAGAGTAAGCATTTGGTTTGATTTCTCAAAGAAGTGAGGTTTATTATGTTTATCAAATTTCAGATTTTTTCGTTAGAATTACAGGTTTTTTAACAAAACATCAAGTCAAGACATAAATAACTTAGTTTCCATATGTTCCACTTCTGGCATATATGTACGTGTATGACATTTTACAATGAAAAATTCAAGTTATTTTTGCAGAAAATAGTAAAGTGAATGGTTTTTGAAAGAAAAACTTTGCCTTAAAAGGCTAGAGGTGGATTCCTGTCCTGTATCAATACTTAGCAAGCTGAGACAAATGTAACAATCAAAGCCAGCCTGTTCATAAAGAACTCTCTAGACTTTGACCCATTTAGATTATGGGATATCATTCAATGTTATCATTCCCTTGAGTATTATTCCTTAGTTTATTTTTATTATGAAGTTGATTAAATATCACAGAAAGCTGTTTGAACATGTTGAGAAAATGATATCTTTGTACTATATCAACTTTATAAAGAGTTAACAGGTAAAGTAAATTACCTGTACTCAATGAAATGCTTTTTGAAACTCAATGTATACCCTTCATAGCAACTCTGAATTAAAGCTTGCATAGATTTGATAACAGAAACCAAAACACACGAAAATGGTACAGTATATCTAGAGTTCTCTGTATCAATGGCCCAAAAAGTGCTCCAAGAACCAAGCGACAAATAAGAAATTAATGTACCAGTAAAGAGATGACCTGATTGTAAGGTCTTGGGTAAGTCCTACTGTTCACTTTATTCTCTGAAGTTTTTCGATTATCCTCTCCAAAACCCTCTTGGCTTCACAGTTTGGGAAATTCCTCATGTCGTAGTACACTGGTGCATTCTTGATTAGCCTGAATTTATACACACAAGAAAAATGATAAATTTTACTTCCATAGTTTCTTTTCTTCCAATTATTTTTTTCATGCCTTCTTTCAATACCATTCTATTCTCTTCCTTTACTGCCTTTTCTCCAAGTTAAATCAATACCCTGAAACAACCTTTGGCTGAGCTAAGTTGGCACAGCTAACATGACGACTGAATTATGGTCATTCGAGCCACAGCTAAGGTCTAACCATTTGCAGATATTTTAAGAGCAAAGGTAGCACCTACACAGATATTTTGAGGCCCTGAGAGTTGGTCTGGTCACTGAGGCTTGAACCCACAGCCTCCCACCCAACAAACTGTTGCCCAACCAGGAGGCTGTACAAGTAGGCTTTCTTTTTATATATTATGTAACTATCATGCTCACCACTCTGGTTTGATGTCTGTGACTGTTCTGATGTAGTTCTTGGTAGTTAATACAAATTCATTGTACAATACAAACTCTGGCTTGTGGTCCAGGCATGTTGATGGATGAAGCTGCACAACCTGAAAAACAAAGGCATGATATTCAATACAAGAAGTTTATTTCAATGAAATTTTATAGCTATAGAAGGAAGAAATCAGTGAATGACTCTACTGTAGTGAGAGGAAGGGAGAGATAACAGCAAAGAAACAGGGTGGGAAATGAAAGAAAGAAACCGGCAGAGAAATGCAAGTTAATTAGGGGGTCACTTATTGATACAGGACTGAAATACGAAATGATAATAGTGAAAAAGGTATACTTTTTGGACAATACTTTGATGCAAGCCTAATGTCTGAAATGCCAGTCAAGTATACTTTTTACTCAAGCAACTTAGGACTGATATAAAAATGGAGGAAAGAAAAGGAAAATGAGACTAATGTCCGAAATGCCAGTCGAGTATACTTTTTACTCACTCGATGTAAGACTGAGCGAGAGAGGGAGGAAGGGAGAAAGAGAGAAGAGGACAAGAACATGGTGTTGGCAAAGCGAGGGGCAAGCAAATAATAGATCAAATTACACACTTTATGTAACAAAGTTAATGAAAACCTACCTGATTGTCCTTGACTGTCAAGTAGTGTCCAGATCTTTCTAGATGTGCCACCTACTCACAGTACATTGAAGTACAAAGTGTAGGGTTGCGGGAGAAAGGGTAGGTGGTGGGTAGGATTCACAGATTGTTAGGTCAGTATCTACAATACTTCATAAACAAAATTATATCAACCACCCAGGATGTACCGATATACTATCTAACATGCAGTACATATATACTATCTAACGTGCAACCACATAACACAAATCTCTGATTCGATTTTCAGCAAGTGACATGTGAGTGGAATTTGCAGGGCTTAAAATAACTGTCAGTAAACTTGTCATGGTCATGATAACTGCCCAAATTAGTTTTAATGCAAAAACTGGATCGGGTAAGTTCCAATTCTGGGCGGACTTGTCCGATTTCTGGCTGTTATTTTAAGCCCTAGTTTGCTAGCTCTCTTCCTTGATTTGAGGGTTTTCTAAGGGTTCTCTGGCTTACTCCCTCCTCAAAATTCCAATTTGATCTGTGAGTTAGATGTGCCCTGACTTTGAACAGCCTAGAGCTGATTTTAAGGTATCAATAAAATTTGAAGGGTAAAGGATTAGAGGACTTGACATAATCCAGATAGAAAAAAGAATAAACTTAAACGTAGCATTGTTTGTGAATGCGATAATGGTTATGTCATCTAATTTACTTTTTACGTGAAAAAATACAAACACAAAAACACAAAAAATTACAACAAGACACACCCAAATATTTAAACAAAATATAAAGAAACATCTTGTTTATTACTTAGTAAGTGTCACTGGCATGAAAAGGGTTAACAATGACTATAGAGAAAGATAACAGTGTCCACCAACTCCACCCTACATTGCTCAACATTAACTCTAGTCCACTAGCATGGGACTAGTAAATCTTTGCTCTAGGCTATTGAAAATTATAACTCACTAGTCCATGTATAGGCTAGTGGGTTTTTGGGATTACTAAAAATGTAGGCTAGTAGTTTATTCTGCTGGGCTACTGGATTTATAGACTTACTAGCCCAGTGCCTAGTATCTAAAAACGTTAGTGTTGAGCACTGTCATATCTGGTTACTTGTCTTCTCTATACCCAATGCTAACCCTTCTATAACCTGACGTGCATACAGTACCTGCATGAAGAATCCAGACACCAATGCCTTCCTGATGTTCAAGTAGTAGTCACGGCTGTTGAAGTCTGTACTCTTACGTGCCATCTTGAAACGGTCCATTATACGTGCCAGCTGTGTTCGGATGCTGTCGGCAGATTTCAGAGAACGCTGTTGGATGAAGTTGTCATAGCACCACTGTGCATCATCATGATCTGCATAAAAGAAGAAGAGTAGAAGCTCAAGTACTGTAAATGTTTTATAGTAGTGATTACTCAGTTTCTCAACAATGGAACACATTTTAATGTAGATGATTTTTAAGGAGAGGATAAACTTCAGAACCCAGGGAAAGCTCTCAAAGCACAGAATAGAACCATCAAGCAACTCCACTGCGCTTCCCAAACATACAAAAAGTACCCCAATGGGTGGCATGCCTGAATCTGCCGATTACCTTGTAATAAATAAAATCTGTCCTTGTTTCCACAAGGGTAGCATTTAATAACCAGTGGCTAAAAAAACCTGTGGCCCTCATTCCATGATAGAAATGGAATTTAGGAGTTGATTATTGTGGAGGAAGGAAAACCCTCAAAGCACAGCACTGAAGGAAAACAAACAACTCTACTCAGATATGACACCAAGCCCAGCGGGACTTGAACTCGGGTCGCATTTATGAGAGGCGAGCATTCTCACTGCATCACCTGTGCTCCCCAATTAATATATTAATTAACTCATAATACTAAGCTACAAGGAAGTCAATAAGTCTGGGTATTGTACTCACTCTGTTTAAAGGCATGATAGACATTCAATAGGGTCAGGTGGTCACCATCAATGTGAGCAAATTTCATTCTTGCCTCATCAGAAGCCTTTTTGGCTTCATTTGGTCTCAAGAAAACCTGAGGAACTAAATAAGAACAAAAAATAATATAAGATGATGCATGATGATGAATGATAGTGAAGGTGGCAATGTACAGTAATGCATTTAAGTGGACTTTAATAGAAAGAAATATGGAAAAAATTGATTGCTCATAATGATGTTAATGGTGGCAATGATGATGCATGATGATGATGACGAATGGTGTAAGATATAGTGGTGATTGATGATGGTGGTGGCAATGATGTGAATGATGATGGATGATGAATGAGATAGATAATAGTAATCATTAACAGCATTGATGATAATGGAGGGGATTGATGATGATGAATAGTGGACAAAATAAAGATTCCAATGACGTCAACGAGGCACCATGAGAAAAAGGAATAATTTTACCTGACAGCATAGCCGTAATAGACAGAATTTCATTAGAACAGTTGAATTCACAACTAGCGATAACCATCTTGGCTAACTGTGGATCCAGAGGAAACTCTGCCATCATGTTGCCGAGTTCCGTCAAGTCACCATTATCATCCAATGCTCCAAGATAGTTGAGGAGTTCAAGAGCACGCATTAAAGTTTCTGGAGCTGAAATGATGAAAGAATTATCAATTATTTTTTTCTTGAAAAATCTTACTATACACCAAATTGAAGTATGGCGTCCAATTTGAATAACTATTGTTCATAGCCTAGTCTTGTGCATAGCCTCTTATTACATGTTTCCATGTGAAAACCAGGCTGGTAAGTCAGTTCGGAACAATAGTTATTCAAATTGGTCGTCATATTTTGATTCGGTGTATTTAAGTAAGCAAAGACTGGTCGTCGGATCTAAAGGTCGATACTATCTCAATCTCAACATTGGTTTCAAACGGTGATTTCAAACTAACCTGGAGGATCCATAAAATCAAAATGTACCAGATCATCAATACCTAGCTTCTTCAACTGTAGCACAACAGTACCAAGATTAGACCTCAGGATCTCAGGATATGTGTTTTGAGGCATCTCTGATTGATAAGCCTTCTCTGTGTAAAGTCTAAAACACTTTCCTGGGCGAGTACGGCCTGCACGACCTGCACGCTGCTGTGCACTAGCTCTGGATATAGCAGACACTAGTAGAGACTCTACTCTGATACGAGGGTTGTATACCTAGAAATATAATGATATGATTTGAACATGAGATATAATTGTTATACAATGTTTTCAAGTGGCATTCCACATCTCATTTGTTTTTACTATATGAACTCATGTTCCTTTAAGTATGTGCCAAGAGAAATCACTATATAACTATTTTATTTTATCTTACACCACAGAAAAAACTACAAGCTCAGTACACGAAATACAAAAATACCTTGGCCGCAATGCCAGATGGGAAGGAACAGTGGAATACTGACAAATATTTAATGGCTTTTCTATTTTCCGATCGGCCGTATTTTCTGTGGTATGGCATTTTATAATGCATGATCGGTGACATCAAACACCTCAAGATATCTTAATGTTTAGATCAGAAAATCAACAATTACCCTCACAAACTTACTTTTTGCTTAGAGAATCCAGGATCAATCACAAAAACCACACCATCGATAGTCAAAGACGTTTCGGCAATGTTTGTAGCTATGACACACTTGCGTCCTATAGCACCATTAGGTCTGTTGGGAGGTGCTGGTTCGAATATACGCTGCTGTTGTTGTGGAGGAAGGGTGGAATAGAGAGGAATACACTTCAGTTCTCCAACATCAATGCCATGGTTCTCTATTTCTTTCTTTATTCTTTTACAGGCTTCTTCAATCTCCTACAAGAAAAAATAAAGGATTTATAGTTACACAAATAAGTTTTTTTATTAATCCACCTTGGGTTCATAAACATATCGCTCAAAAAAATGGCCATCAAGTCTCCAACCAAAATGGACACGATAGGGCAGTCTTCTTGATCAGACACATACACTGGTCATTTGTTGATCAGTCTGATGTGGCTGGTCTTTCTTTACCCCTAGGAACATACTTTAGACTAATTACCTGCCACATTATTCGACTTAACAACATGTGACAGTCAAGAGGACCAGCCTAGGAGCTGTTTGGCTGAAAAAGTGACAATTTCAGCCAGACATTTTTTATACTTTTTTAAGCCTTATAACAATAAGCTAACCTCTTGTCCTGTCAGAAACAACAAGATGTCCCCAGGAATGTCTTCACACATGTGTATTTGAATAACAGTACGGATTGCGGCTTCTAAGTAATCTCTTTCAGGCTCTGGAGTATAAAAGATTTCTACAGGATGTGTTCTTCCTGGGATGGTCATAAGTGGACAATTATCAAAGTATTCCTGGAATTTTCCAGCATCTAGGGTAGCACTCATGATAATAATCTTGAGATCTTGTCTTTGTTTTACAACCTACAATAGAGAAAGACAATTAAGAGTAAGAACTTAGAATCAGAAATGATAAACTTGAAAATAAACACAAATATACACAAGAGACTATTGCTCAATGATTAGTGAAAATATGTCTGTCTATGGGTTGGAGAGGTGTACTTGTTCATGGATTGCAAACGAAAACATTTAGAATTTAGGTTTCTGGTGTCACATTTAGGGGGGGGGGGGGGGGGGGGGGGGGGGGGGGTGGGAGGGAGGAGTGGAGACAGTTCTGCTTAAAGCCAATCATAGGAAAGTAGTTAAAAGGTAGGCATATTTTAAAAGCAGTTACACCTCACATGAACCGCTTCTAAAAAATGAATTATTATTAAGTATACTTAAATATACAGCTTCTCATTAATCCCATATAGGTAACTGTCCAATTATTTTCTTTATTGGACAGGTCTTGTTGATATGGAATTAATTAGGCAGCTATATAATTAATAGGTAATGGGATTTCATGCTCCCCAATCAAGAAATAATTAGACTCGAAAAATTCCTGACTAGTCCTCGCAATTTTCCTCGTCCAATTATTTCTTAATTGGACAGCATGGAGTCCTATTACATATACTAATTTTTAATCCAATCTTTAAATCATACCTCTTTTAGTAGACCCATTAAGATATCTGTAGCTAGTGTCCTCTCATGAGCCTCATCAAGAAGTATTACACTGTATCGTTCTAGTAAAGGATCTGTCATGGCTTCTCGTAACAACATACCATCTGTCATGTACCTGTTGTCATGACAAAGAAAGAACATTATTCAATACTTGAATACTTGGCATATCTTAGCATAGCTAAATGATAATGGCATTCCGTCTCTTTTAAAGCATTCATTCCCACAGTTTCAACTAATGGCTGTTTAATGGCTGCACATCATGGCTGGCCACAGTGGACTGATCAACATATGACCCATCAAGAGGATCAGTCAGAGACATTTGGCTGTGCAAAATAGTGCTAGCTGCCGATAAATAAGCTAAGAAACCAGAAATTGATTCACTAATGAAAGCAACTAATAAGGCAAGAATTATTGTGATAAGGCCAAACAAAAATAATAAGTGTGTTTTCTGTTGTGTGACCGACCCTAATTTGCTGACCCTAATATCTTTTTCATTCCCAAATGCACCACAGGGTTCCCAGTAAGCTCATTTCAACTGTTGTATCAGTAAAAAAACCTGACCTACTGACCCCTATCATTTTTCTCATGCAACAAGAAACACACTTATTTTTTCTTTGGCCTAATGGTTGGCAAATTAACATCACAATGATAATATTTTTAAGAACCAACCAGCATTATTTTTATATTAACTGTCTCGCCTGCTTTCTAGTATGTTACATTAATAAAAAACACTTACTGTAATGCCTTTTTCTAGCATCTAAATACCACTTACTTCATTGCTGTTCTGGGACCTGTACAATCTTCAAAACGAATGGTATAACCCACTTCTTGTCCCAACACTACATCTAACTCATCAGCAACACGTTGCGCTACACTCATTGCTGCTACTCTCCTGGGCTGAGTACAAGCAACTTTCTTGGTTTTGTCTGTCCTCACCTCTAAACACCACTGGGGAATCTTTGGTTAAAATAAAGACAGTTGTTACTTGAAGAGTGGGATTGATACTAAAAAGCGGTTCTTACGTAAAATGGAAAAAATGAGAGCCAATGCAGTGAGAATGGCAAATAAAACTATATTGTGGGATATTTCTTTACAATGAATAAGTGGGACTACTACTGCCTTAATTACAAATACTATCCAAGGTTTGGGAGGTTGTCTGAATTGGGGGTGTTGTGTGCTGACAGGAATGGTGGTGGGGAGCATTTGAGGTAAAGAATTTGTATTAAAGGCATACCTGCCTGGTTTCTCTACTAAAAATGCTAGCCCCCTCCTCCTTATTTTGCATCAAATAATCAGAGAAGCTAGTCTTCAAGTGAAAGTGTGTGTATGTAATGGTAGGGAACTGTGAAGTTCCTATTACTATTACTATTACTATTCCTATTTCTATTTACAGTTTCATACCTGAGTGGTTTTTCCTGATCCGGTTTCACCTACAAGAGCAAGCACTCTATTTTTCTTGACAATTTCCATAAATTGTTCTCTGTATTCCCAGACTGGAAGTTCAATTCTCTTGCGTAGTATGTCAAAGTAACGGTCAGAAAACGGGCGGCCATTGTAGGGGTTGATTTTCCCTCGAAGATTGGAAGGATTACTATCAGCGAAAGAGAAACAAAGTAACCTTATTTACAAATCTGTGATACGTACAGTTGACGTACTGTCATACCAAAGATATATGTGCTTATTCTGGTGTAATAATTAAGACATTTCAGAGTTTCCCTTTAAGATCATATTGAACTATAACATCTATCTTACTCTCACATATCTGCAGAAAAGATAATGTCTGGATCATTCAAAATAGTGACCATGATTTCAGTTATTCTGGAATCTCGTATTGTCAACGAAAGTTACCTCTCGAATAAAACTACTTTCTATCTTACCTTAGCTCTTCTTTGATCCTTTTAGCAGTAGATAAGCCACTGTTCATATTTCCAGCGACGTCTAGCCTTCGTTTCGACATGGCTGGGTTGAAAAAGAGAAGTTTTACGGCAATAAACTCCTCAAATTCCCTTCGGCAGAAAAACAAAATGGCAGCCAAACCATGTGCTCGCCCAGAATGCTTTGCGCACACGGTTAAAAAGAATAGTAACGAGCGCACCAGCGCCTTGCTAATATTGTAAACATAACATTGCTACTTCATGGAAGAATTCTGATAATACTCACATYATGTATTTCTTTGTGGTAGTATTAAAATAAATCTATACAAAGTATCTACCGAAACTCAATAATCGTTTAGTGGTTACGAGCATCAGTGGTAAATAATCTCCAAAACTTCAAAAAATGAGTTTCAAAAAGGCTACTCTAAAGCAATCCTTTTACTTAAGCTTATTGTTGTTCCCATTTGTGTTTTCAATGCCCTTAGAAGAGCACGCTTTTACTGACAGTTCGTCTAAATCTGGCAATGCTTTCGCTGTGGAGATTGTTACGACCGAAGCGTTTAGAGTTGTGGATAAACGATTTCTTTCTGTGGCTATCGATACACATATACTTGAGATACATTGGAAGTGTTTTAATTTCTCGTCAGTAAGACTTTTTACCTTAGCCAAGGGTCTTCAACCAGCTTATTTAAGAATTGGAGGAAGCGGACAAGATTTTCTGTTTTACGATGGTGAAGTACACAAAATGAATGGCGTCGATCATGCTGTGCAGTCTCGAGAATGTAAAGATGAACAAGGAAGGAATATTAATGGACAGAAGAAAAAAGGAATCAATTTTACCATCAACAGCGATGATTTGGATAACATTCATGAGATTTCTGAAAAAGCTGGTTGGGATATTGTGTTTGGATTGAATCTGTTGTTGCGAAGTGATGACGGTTCATGGAATTCGAGTAATCCTTTGGAGATCATGCGTTACGCGGCTAAGAATGGTTACAACTTTGCTTGGGAGCTTGGAAATGGTAAGTGTATTTGGGATTAATATGAATACTATATATAAGACTCTAAATCGAGTCATAAAGTGACAGAACTATTGAAACCACCTCTGGGCTGATCAGTCAGGACTCCCAATAATGGAATGGAATCGGGATATTGAAACTTGTTAAGGAAGCGAAACCGAAGTTACAGCCCGACAAACGGCCCTCAAATCACAGGAGAGAACCAGAAATCAAATCTAGTCAAATATGATGGCAGGTGTCAGCATTAGCTTACTCGAATATTCGCCCGAGATGAAAGGTAAACTTGATGAAATACAATAACTGTATAGAACGCATCGGGAAAGGTATATTGGCTTATATCTATGAACCTGGTGGTGTATTATTAAACAACGCACACCACCCGTGCTTCCCTAGATTGCAGTTTTATACTTCAGTCAAGTCTAAAGCTCCAAATTAAAAACAGTTCGTATGGTTCCCAACACTAATCTAATAGAATGGTAAAGATTATTTAACGTAGATATAGATCAAAGATTATACTTATTCATTTGTCTCACGGTTGAGGCAGTTAGGAGGACTGCGACGTTGGTGTGGTGGGCGTGACGGAGTGCTTTTGAATGGTCGGTATCAACGCTTCAGGAATCTCAATTTTGCTGTCCCTATTGATGTTGTTGGGATGGAGTCTAATATGGATGACTTCTTCAGCTCTGCGTGTATACCCTTTGGGGAAATGTTTGTCTGTCGATAGAGTCCGTCACGCCCACCACCCGCAGGCAATCATAGCCCCAGCGCGATTCTCAAGGTAGCCAGACTGACGGTATATATAGGAAGACCACCTTCCATTCTACAACATCGCCTGATGTAGACTAGCAGTTGAAGTCGAAGCGACGTCGCGGTCCTCGAAACAGCCACAATCGTGTGACAAATGAATAAAAAAAAAACGTTATGTCGTATTATATTTGTTTCCTTAGAACCCAACAATCTAGGCCAGTATGGCACGCCAATTACCGCAGAGCAAGATGCCATGGCTTTCTTAACGCTAAGACAGATTCTAAATGATGAGCCTGAACTCGGAAGAATGTTGATTGGACCAGATGTTGATCGCATATGGGAACAACCAAAAGCGCGGGAATATCTCAATCAGTACGATAGATTTATACAGCTGTCTTTCATGGTCTCTTGATTGATATAATTCATTTTGTTATTTTTCATTTCCACGACTGCGCATCTCTCACTCTATTCCTAGGGAAGCTTACGAAATGGTTGCAATGATTTCACTGATACCGTAGAGTAATTTGCCGCGATTCATATCCAAATATCCCAGGTTTTGTTATATTTTTGCCTTAATGTTGGTCATCCCAAAGCATTCCATTTTAGCGAATTAATGTTCCTTTCTCCTTTAGGTTTCTTCTTCTAGCCCCAGACACTGTAGACGCTATTTCATGGCATCAGTAAGCATTGACCTATGCAGGGTTTGACACGTACTAAAATTCATATCAAAAATTATATATTACAGCTAGGTTATCAAAACTGGGGCTTTTTTGGCATCCGAGAATAGTGTTAAATGACTAACAATGATGATGCCAGCTGACTGATGGAAAAAAAAAAAAAAAAAAAAAAAAAAAAAAAAAAAAAAAAAAAAAAAAAAAAAAAAATTCAAACAAACGTTAAACAAAAGGATAGGTCAAAAATGAGTGGGTAGTGCAGAAATAGAGGGTTGCACACAAATTGAAAAAACAGTTGCAAGTGAAGTAAAAATGTAGGACTCCCTAAATCCTTTCCCCTAGAGTCTCAGTCTGTACACAGACGCCCCCACCCCTCACCTACATGCAAATCTATGCATGATTACTCGTTGAAAAAATAACGGTATTCTTGGAACATGTTGATAGCTTGAATTTTCCTCCTTCCTAAAGGTATTATGTCAATGGAAGAACAAGCACTGCGAAAGACTTCTACGACGTGCAAATACTGGACACCATGTTGGATCAACTGAATGACTTCAATGACATTGTCACCGTTAGAGCACCACAGACCAAAGCCTGGATCGGAGAAACGAGCAGCGCATGGGGCGGAGGGGCTGAGGGCTTGTCTGATAGATATATTGCTGGTTTTATGTATGTATGTCCATCTATCGGCTCTTGTTTTTCAGTTGAATCTCGAATCCTTTTGGTTCCAATTTTACATAAGTTCTATGTTTTCTCTCTCTGTTATATTAACCAACACGGTCCAACGTCTTTTGACACTTCGATGATCTCGAGATCACTAATAGTTTTAAACTAACAATAGCACAACAATGAAGAGTGAAACAACAGTTTGCACCAGACAGTCAAACTGTCATCTTACGGGACCCAACACCTCTGGAAATGAAATCCTGAATTTTGTCCTCAAATATCTCCAAAAATGAAAGTCAAATGTGGGTTGTACTGTATGTTTGCATGTACTCCATAAGGAACGTGTTTATGTATAGAAGCAATCACTAAGGACACTCAATATCAAGCATTTCAACAGGCCTCCGAGGGAATTTGCTGCTACATTTGATGGCACCCACCATGCACCCAATTAAATACAATTGGTTCCTATTTGGGACTATTGTTTTGACCTTGACCCTAAACGCAGTTTTTTTGTTGTCGTAACAAGGTGGTTGGATAAACTTGGACTCTCTGCTCGATTGAACCAGGACGTGGTCATCAGGCAGACATTTTTTGGGGGAAACTATGCACTTATTGGAACGGATTTACTACCAAACCCGGTAAGCAGGGGAGGGGAGTGAAGGGGAGCCCACGCCCGCTTTTTTTTTTGGTTTAAAAAACTTAATTTTGTGGGGTACACAGGCAACCCAGTTCATGAATTTTCTCTGACCCGCTTTTAAATCAGACAAAGTGATGCAAAATCATGTTCTAAACGTGTTATTGTTCCAGGATTACTGGCTGTCTCTTTTATACAAGCGACTGGTTGGTCAAGAAGTCTTGAAGGTAGAGCAGGGTACCGAGAGAGGAAGATTGCTCAGGGTTTACGCACACTGTACAAACTCTGCTGGGTAGGTATAATTTTCTTGGCATATCCTTCAAATTTTATCGAATATATTAAACAAGTGTTATTAAAGTCAGGGCCTCTAATCAAGGGAGAAACCTGACGAACACTTCCCACATGTGATGGCGAGTCTGGGAATCGAATCAACCTCATAAACCGCGTCACTAACCGGTCAAAGTGTGTTCCCATTGCCGCAGACATCCGTGTTAAAACCAATCAAACTGCATCATTGTTCATCAATTAAAATACAAACTCAGATATTACATCGTCACGGTCACGGAACAGACAAATCACGTGCGCAGAATCTTGCCTTGCACCCACTTTTGTTGATTAGTAAGAGATGGTCGGCTTCGATTTGCCATTAGCTTGTATGGCACTCATCCACAGTTTCCATATTCAGTGTACAGTATATAGAGGCTTTGCACCATCAGGTGATGGCAGTCATGACACATGAGGCACAACGATAGAGTGATTTATTACTTGTGTAAAACAGATTAAATAAGAATCGATAGTTCCCGCCTCCTGTCATGGTGTGATCACGTGGTGGTGCAAAGCCTCCATACCCAGCAGGAGCAGTGTCCAGTAGTTACAGATAGTTTCCTTGGTAACTAATCTACGTAATGATCACGTGACTTGGGGGTTCTATTTGCCATTAGCTTGCATCGTACTTATTTCCAGTTTCCTATATAACGTGTATAGTGAATACCCGGCAGGGGCAGTGACTGTCATAGCTCTCAACATTAACCCAAAAGAACAAGCCACATTTAGGCTGACAGGGGATCTACGAGGGATGGATGTTGATCAGTATCTACTGACACCGTATGGCGATGATTTGACGGAGCGGTAAGTGTAACAATGATGGCCCCGATGATGTCATCATCTTCTTTTAAGATTTCGGGTTAATGGTTTGAAATTGGAAAGTAAATTTAAAAAATCATGACTTGGCATGGATCATCCTTTGATGGCATTCCAGAATAATCTGACCAAGTCCGTCTTTCTTTACGTCTTGTTCAGGAGAGTAAACCTCAATGGCAAGCCTCTAAAACTGATCGATGACGCAACTCTCCCAAGTCTACATCCAGTGCGAGTATCGTCAGATCTACTTGTTCTTCCATCTCTGACGTTCTCCTTCTTTGTCGTACCCAATGCAAAAGCCGAGGCCTGCAAAACCACTTTATACTCTTAAGCAATAAAATTTTTATCTTTTGTCCCAATGCCCAAGTAAACTAGACCTCCATCTCAAAGAAAAATCCTGTAGTTTCGGTGACTTAGATTTCTTATCAAGTTTTACTCTATGTCATCTTTTCAGTTTTTTTTTCAATGCCTAAGATAAACTAGCTCTCCATCAAATAAAGATACTGTAGTTTCGGTGAGCTGAAGATTTAATTCTTTATCGACTGTCAACTCTATATGGTATAGGGATATTGCGGTTGTCAATATTGGGACTTTGTTCTTTTATCGCCTCCTGTCACATGCTCGTCTTTTTTTCTCTTTCCCTTGTGCTGGGTTGATCGTAATTTCTATTAGGCGTAATGTGTGTATTTATTTGTTAATTATTCGCTTACTTGGTGACAAAATGAATCCCACCCAAGATCCGTCTAATTGACCAAATTTCAAACGACATGTCTATTTAAGGTGTTTTTTTACCTTCGTGCCAATGACGTAGACAAATATGTAGATTGAACTCATTAACAAATTAGGACATTTCGCCTTGGGTCTAAAGCCAATTTATTTGGTGTCGTAGCAACGTGACGTCGCTTCTTAAGGAACTTCGTCCAAAGGGGTTCGGCTACCTTCAACAAAAAAGCTCTAAGCTGATGGCCAGAAGATATCGGTCTCACAACCAATGGTTGCTAGGAGACAGGCACAATCAACTCATGTGTTGTTGCTAGGTGATGTTGCCACTCATCGACAAAGTGACCATACCGATTTATTTGGTGTCATAGCAACGTGGCGTCACTTCTCCTACAGCGCTCTCGCAATTACCGGTTGCTAGGAAACAAGCACGATCAACCCCTGTGTTGTTGCTAGGCGGTGGTTTTAGAGTGACTATATAAAGACATGGCTGGTTGGATTATTCTCCGAACGCAGTAGAGATTGCACAGCTGTTAATAATGATGAGATTTTTGGTCTCAGAACAACCTTCCCCTGTTCAGAATGAGCAAGTACCTCTGGGATTCGTTTTGCCTGGAGAGGTAATCCATTGCGAAATCAGTGAATCTGATACCAGTGAACATCTGGCGGTAAGGCATCGAAAACTTCCCTTCAACATGTGCAACACTGACACTGATGACTCAAATGAATCAGAAGCTTATGCCCTGCCTATGTTAGAAATCTCCCTCGAAAACGTGAACCAAAATTCGACGATTGGCCAAAGAAGACATTCTATTAGTGTTCGTATCAAAGACAACTCCGCAGAGATACAAAGTACTTGCATGGAAGCTTCACCAACATACAAAGTACCAGCACTAGACTTGATCGACAACGAAGCGGCGGAGGTCGACATTACAGCCTGGACACTCGAAACCGAAAAGAATGAAAAAGAACCTGTTTCAAGGCGAATAAACAGCAGAGCTGAACAAAACGGTGCTGATATGCAACATGTAGGAATGTCTGTGGAACTAGCCTTGTCGTTGGAAAATGAAGTACAAAGAGCATTAATGAGAGTGGTTAGAAACGACAAAAAGGCTTTGAAGATACTAGGGGTCTCTTCTCGCTAAAACAATATTCTTCCTTTTATTAAGGTCCATTGTATAGTAAGGAATGCACGTACTATGGAACAATACAAGTTCATCAAGATTCCACGGGTTTTAGTCGAGTGGCTGTATATTTTGACGCACAACTGATGCTAAAAGGCTGCGCAAAAAAAACTCAAAACTGGAGTATTCGTAACTAGCACATACGATTTTCAGAATAACAGGTCTGATAAAACTAGTCTTTCCTTTGTACTCTTTCTATTTTATTGGCTCTGTTACTATAATATTGTTTTTAAAAATATCTATATTCGTGTATTTTTCAAGTACCATTAAAAGCATTGCTGGTCTATTCAGTGCTGACTAGAAGATTCTTTGACCTCGCGCGCATGCGCTATTGGGTGCCCAAAGAAAGAAACCGTACTTCAGTGATCGCTATACTCGCGGTCTCCGATTGCTTGGACGTCATTCAACTGGGTGTTCGAGACATTGACCATAGCGCCATACACTTTAACGAAACCCAAATAGTTTACATATACAGCTATTTCAAAATGGTTGGTGAAGGTTTTGGTTGCATGTTGCTTATAACCTTGAATTGTACCATGGTTCATATGTAAATAATCTCAACACAGAATGAAATATGCCAAAACTGAAACGTGCAAAGTTTGGGAAAAATTCGTCGTACTAGCTATTGTGACCTTTCACTGATCGATTGCATTCACAGCCCCATAGTGCAATTTGGGCTTGGTATGCAACATGTATCATAATGTTTACCAACCATTTTTGGAAAAACTATTTAGAGGCTTTGCACCAACACGCGACGGCAGCCATGTTAGATGGCAGGAATCGTTTTACATGAGAAAGAATTCAGTTCCCAAGAGCAAAGGGATTTTATTGTTCTGTCATCTAACCACAGGCAGTCCAAGCTGAATTATGGGGGCCGGAACGTGATGGTGCAAAGCCTCTATGCGTAAAAAAAAAAAACAACTGGTAAAAATAACTCGGCTTGGGGTCCCTGTGGTAATCTTTAGATGTGTTTGTTAAAGGGGTTGCAGATAGTTCGACGGCGCCCAACCCGTTTCATCATTAACTTTTACCATCCACCACCCACCATCGTCTTGCTGTAATACCTCTATAGTATCACCCTCTTGAAAGCTGACTGACGTCTCGTCATCTTCACAGAAGGTTGCTATGGCAACGTAAAACTGTTTGGCGGGCTTCGAAGAGTCAGGTCTTTTAGGAGGGTCAGGTGGGTCACGCCTTTGTGGTCTATTGGTTTGATTAGCAATTGGAGTGATATTATCTGGTGTCTTCATCTCCAGGTAGCTCGAAGGTGCCCACCCTTCTCGATTAGTAGCTTGTGTTTTCACCAACCACCAACCAGAACCTGAATCCTCAAGAAAGTCGAATAAATCTCCTTCACTAAAACTCAAACCATCTTGGTCCGTGTTTGTGAAGGCTGCTATGGCAACACACTGCGACGCTGATGGCTTTGCTGGCTCGTTTCTAGTCGGCTTTTCTGTTGTCGGTGGTATCTTTTTACTTGGTGTTTCTGCTTGTTTTGGCGTCTCGTCCAATTGGGGAGCAAATATAGGAATTTTAGACTCGAACAAAGCCGTGTTTAGTTTACCAATCTTTTTAGGTCGGTTTATATTATCGTCTTTTTTATTTGACACAGGAGAATTCTGCTTGACAGGTTTTAAAGGAAAAACAGGTTTGTGTTGTTGGTTTTGAAGAGAGTCTCTTTGAGGATTTCTCGAGGAAACTGGTAGAGCCATTGGCTTCTGGGAAACAGATGGCTTAGTACTCGGTACAGGAGGTGGCACTGGCTTTGCTGTTGTTTTCTGTGGAAAAGCTGGTTTTCCCTTGGGGACAGGGTGTGGGGATGGTTTCGCTTTGGGCTTTTGTGCAAGTGTTGGTTTTGCACTGGGGACAGGTGGAGGAGTTGGTTTTCCGTTTGTTTTCTGTAAGGTGGCAGGTTTTCCACTTAGAACTGGAGATGGGAGTGGCTTTCCATCTGTTTTTCGTAAAGTCCCCGGTTTTCCACTTGGAACTGAAGGAAGGAGTGGCTTTTTATTCATTTTCTGTGAAGACACAGGTTTTGAACTTGGAATCGCAGGAAGAGCTGGCTTACTTGCACCCTGTGATGACGAAGACGGTTTACTTGCTGGTGGCTTTGGTCTCCGTGGAGCCGGCGAGTTCTTTATCTCTTGTTTCGTCAAATAACTCGATGGCACCCATCCTTGTTTCTCATTTAATCTCACCAGCCACCATTCCCCTTCGCTCTTGTCCACGACCTCTACAACATCTCCTTCTTTCAGACAAACAACGCCATCAGAACTGTCCTCAAAATCGGAAACTGCCGCATACATTTCTTTAGTAGATGACTGACCAGATGGTTCAGCAGGCTCACTAGCGGCGCAGCTCTTTAATCTCATTGAGCTCAAAGCAATATTTAGATCGCTTTTCAAATCAGGTGACTGTGAAGTCTCCGGCTTAATTTCCGAAATGCTTAATCTTGAACTGGGCAGTTGGGGTCGGTCCGGTTTAGGAGTAACCACGTTTCCTTTCTGACTTCTATTTCTTTTCTCAACGTACGACGACGGTATCCAGCCCTCGTGTCCTCCTATTTTTCCAAGCCACCAACCGTTCGGCGACTTGTCTAATATTTCGACAGCTTCGCCCTTGTCAAAGCTAAGACCCGACTGAATATCGACAGCTCGAAAGTCTCCGATAGTGACGTACTCGGCTTCGGAGTGTATTGCAGCTGTCTCTTTGACGGGCTCGAAGTGTTTCTCGTAGGACTGATTAGCAATGGAAAATGGTTTTCTAATTGAACGCTTGACCTATTGAATAAAAAAATCATGAGATGTTTACATTGCTCTCTACTGAAACTAGAGCTAATAAGCCACAAAAACCACTAAAAAGACTAGAATAGTGCAAGGGATTAGCTGTAAATACTGTCTAGAAGCCGGCTAGTCTTTTCCCTGATGCCTTTGACTATAGAATATTATTCTGCATAATCCTTAAATTAAGAGCGGATCGAACTTAATTGCCGTATGATTTGAAGTCTATACGGCGGCTCAACCTTTCTAGATGTCTCAGGGGTATGGCAATATATAATTTTTGCAATTTTGGAATATGTTAGCAAATGTTATGACGAGCACAATACTTTTACTCACAGATGCTTTTCTTGGTGGGACTCCTTTGCCTTTCCTTGCTGTTTTAAGAACAAATAAAATATCATTAACTATTGAATATATACTGGTTTCCAAGTTTACGTTGTTGACCAGACAAGAAAGAGAAAAGATGAGTCCTGCGCATTCTTAGACAATAAACGACTTGCACTACMAGGTCACGTGACCCAACCTGACTTAAAACGAGCAGCTGTGTCAAAATTAACATCCGGAATCAAAAGAGCACCTCGATATTAGGGTGGCGGTGTTTTAGCTCATAACAAGCGAAAAAGGATAAATGACATTAAATATAAAATCAAATATTCTATAAGGAGTYGTAAGGGAAAATACGCTGGATGGCAAGAGGTTGCCAGTCAACACTTTTCCCATACAAATCCTTATAAATTGTTCAATTTTATGTTTAATGCCATTTCTCCTATAGTCAACATTATGAGCTCAAACTTCGCCCTGTTACTAATGTTGAGCTGTTCTTTTTATTTCTAAAGTTCGTTTTCATACAACTGCTCGTATTAAGGGAGGTGGGGTCACGTGACCTGTTAGTTCGAGTCGTCTATTACAAACAAACCGCTAAACGAATGATCTAGTTTCATGCGCAGAAATGTTTCGTCAAGCCTCCGTTCTTCCATTTGACCTGTGCAAAAAAGCGCTGGTATTGAAAAAAAGGAAATATTTTCTTACCCAAGTTTGAGGTAGGTTGCTGCATAATCGGGGCATGAGTAATGACTGGTACCGAGTCCCGCTTAGGTACCGCACCGCCGATTTCGGCCGCGTGTAACTGCATAGGGTCTGGTTTCTTGAGGTACATGGCTGGGGCCCAGCCTTCCTTGTTTTGGTACCTGATAGGAAAAAGGTTCTTTTAGGATTCAATATTTATGCCATCGTTTCGCGCGCTTGTTCTTTGTGCAGTCATAAACCACGTGGTTCATCAGAGACAAGCTCTGTACCGTGTTAGATTTTGCAACCAACTATAATGCTGGCGCACGTYTCTTACCTTATCAACCACCAACCATCAAAGTTCTTCTTCACCACAGTAACAATAACACCCATCTCGAAGCTTATCTCATCATCGAGCTCAGCGATGTGGGATGTTGTAGTGATAAATTGATTCTCTGCAAAAAGACTTGACTTTAAACTATAGCCATGTATCCAGTTGTAAGGGGAATGTCTTTCAGTATACTTTGCAAGTTTTGGACCCAACCACTTACACCTAAGACATACATTACCCATTGGTTACCTTCTACAGAGCTGACATCTGTAAAGTCCATATCATCTGATGGGCCATCTAAAGGTTCAAGATATGCCGCTGGGACCCAACCCTGCTCTTCATCTAAGTTCACAAACCACCAACCTATGATGACAAAAAAATTATTAACTCCTTCCATCTATTTCATCCATGAACCCATTTTTTAAAAACACATTAAAAATTAGTTACGGAAGGGAAATATTAAAATCGTGCAAACTAAAAGGTACCATGTTCCAGGTTTGGATTGATAGTCATGCAGAAGCAAGTATAGATTATGTGGGGTTGAGGGGATGGATTAGGTGCTGTTTTYGGGTGGCTGGGTACCCATCCCCTTTGAAGTTTTCAAAAAATATTATTAAAACAGCTATGTACTAATGGTAATTAAGGGACACTGAATCCATCCTTCCTTYCCTAACAATGTACTTGCCCTGTGATGAAAACTCAGTTCAAACTCAAAGTCTCGTGCTCACCATTTTCATTCTTGTCGATGACCTCAACAACATCCTCGGCAGCCATACTGATCTCATTTCGATTCTGTTTCTGGTAATCAGCGATAGCGACATACTGATCCAGGGATATTGGATCTGAAATGTTGTCAGCTAAAGAAAAGAATAGCAAAATAAATTATTTTGGCAAATACACCAGCACATAGTTAATAGAGGGGAATGGTTAGGAAACCTATTGTTATCAGGTCTTTGTTCGCTTTTGATGTTGAACCGGTCTTGACGGTGCACAATGTTTGATTTATGCTCATCCGAAATTGCAAAATAAGTAAACATAAACTTTGTGTACGGGATTGGTGTAAGGAATATTCAAATATCTCTTATAAATCTTTAAGTATTTTGAAATAGCAGCCAAAAGAAAGATTTTGGTCTGTTCGCTCAGCCATTGCCAACGATGGTAAAACAATGGTAAAACAAAGGATTGTGCACTGTCACGCTTGAAAAAAGTGAACAAAGACATATAACAATAGGTTTCATAACCATTCCCCTCTATTAACTATGACCAGCAAGACCACAAACTCATTTGTACAGGCTTAACCTTGTTTATAAGCCAGATATTCACATATGCTATAAACATCTGCTGGATGAGTCTTTAGTCATAAAACACTGCAGTGGCATTCACCAAAAGTGAATATTTAAATTAATTTGATACCTAAATTATTGTCTTACCGGTTTCATTTTTCTTCTTCTTTTTCCTTAAAATAAACACGAGAGATCAGAATTGAGAACATTCATTGAACCATTTTCAGAATACAAGATTATATTGCTTATCTAATGAAAATGCTCAGAAGCAGTTGCTATTGTTACACTCACATGCGACATCTGTTCTAACATATCTATCTAGGAGATGTCTCCCTGTCCACTTATGCACTTACTCAGCTGGGATGTCAATATCATCAGAACTGGGCTCAAAGAACTTCAGCACAAGGTCACTCTGTGAGAGTTTAGGGTCTAATTCAATAAGTTTCTGGAATGAAAATAAAATATAAGTTATGGTCTGTTGCTTAACAGCAAGGAGTGTACAGATGAAATCCAAATTTAAAAATGGGTGAAGGTCTAAATGTATGTGCATTTGATCACCAATGGCATATCCAGCCAAATTTTAGGGGGGGGGGGGGCTAATTGAGTTTAGGGGGGGTAATTGAGTTTCTTCCGCCAACACAATGGAAAACAATAAAAAAGCATCTAATTCTTCAGTTTAGTTTTTTTTCTGCTGAAGGGGAGCTGAAGCCCCCCTTTGCTCCCTCCTGGATCTGCCATTGTTCTATGGGGTGCATTGAGTGGTTAGATACCCATTTTAGGAGTATTCAAAATAAGAACAAGAAACAATATAAAATTCAAAGAGAAAGAGATATACTGGCTTTCTAGTAAGCAGCCACCCCACCTGAAATCATCTTRCATCTGCTATAATTTTATATAACAAAACTCGTTTAAACCAATCACAGGATACAAGATAATTACTTTCTTATCCAATTAGAAACCTGTAATATGTTACTATCCCTGACATTTCACAGCATGCTGATACTGTTATTATTGTACAGTAGTTATAGGACTGTTCTCATGATGAAACAAGTTTATTTTACTTACTGAACAATATTCATCAATGGATTCTTTTCTTTTGAGTGCAACATCTCGGACATGACTTCTCCCAAAGATTATTTTTCCTGACAATTTAACATGATCATTTAATTTGTTATTGCTCTTATTTAAAACAATGATTAATAATATGAGTTACCAATTCACAGCCCAGTCGCAGTGTACCAATAGGTATTTCCATGGACTTCATGGAGTAGGGCTAACCCCTCTCATCTGATTTTTTCTTGTTCTCTTAGTTGCATAACCTTACTTAACCCTGATTTTTAAGTTTCTTCTACTTAAAAAAAATAGTGGTCCTTCCCTACTAGAGCCATTCAACATCCCTCAAATAAATTTTTCCTTTATGTCCCCTAAACATCCTTAGAAAACTCATTAATAATTCATGAAGAAAACACAATAGAAATCATGACCATGAAGGTGATTTTAAATCGGATAAAGATTCGTCTTCATTTGCATAAACTTTAACTTGGATTTTCTCTATCAAACTTGGTTCATTTCGTAAAAAAAATCGGTACACAATGAGAACAAACATCATAAGTTTTCTAAGCCGTTTAATAATCTCGCAGATCGTGTTTTATCGGGTCTAAAACCACTCGGCTGCGCCTCGTGTTTTATACCCGATAAAACACTCCTGCTCGTTTATTAAACATTACTTAGATGATAGTCATAGATGATAGTCATTTACAAATACCTGGAAGAAATGGTATTACTCTTGTGCTTGGGTTTTGCACTCCACCCTCCACTGGAAATTCTTCAAGCAACTTTGTCTTAAAAAAGAAACCAAAATTGTCAAATTACATTTTCATTTTCAAGCACCATGTGAACACAAGATGTTTGCTTGCATTTTGAATTCCTACAATCTTTCTCTTCTTTTGTCATTATAATTAGACTAACTAACTTTCATAATAACAATAACCTTATTTAGATAACATAGGAATACTGATTGAAAATAATAATGTATGGCTGAAGTTCTTTCGATGATACCATGATTTAAATTCAAGTATTGTTTGTTGTCAGAAAAATTTTCACTTTCCATAAAGTAATAGCCTAAAGATTGTATCGCAAAGGAAATTGTTTGATTGCACTAGCTTGTTCAAGGCTGTGGCTTCCACTTGGACAGTGGTCTTGTTTTTTTAAAAAAGCTGGTCCTGTTTTTTTATCTACATGTGTAATAAATATTTTTTTACAAGGGGGGGAAATGGTTCTGAAGGTAAAAGTAGTGCTGTTAAAACCAGAACAACCATACTGATAGCTATGACCCCGACCCTGTTGACATTACAACAGTTTCATCATTTTGTGTTCATTGCAGTTGAACATTATTATTATACGACACACTCAGTTTCCCATGTATTACAACCATTTTTCTCCTTTCCCATTTTGCGGCTAACATCAGTGGTTTGAGCTTGTGAATTCTATCTTTGCTTGTTTACGATAAAAATGGTTGTTTTTCAGGCACTTTTTTCTAGCTTTTTTCATGTCGTACAATAAACAATGTATTACACTGCTATAGTTGTGTATAAGTACAGGCAGATAATTTTACTCATAAAGCTGTATTGCTATGGCCGTTTTCACTTGTAAAATTATCCGGCCATAATACAGAACTAGCAGTGTAATAATCTTTATATATATTGCACAGTAAAGCATACCATATATACCTAGCTAAATCCTGTCATTTAATCAAATGCATATGAAAAACATACCTTGACAAATTAAGATATTCTTACTATTGTTGTAGCTACTCTGCGCTTTTTAAGCTTATTGTGACAGAGTCAAAAGACACTATTT